GATAAAATAAAATATACATAAATTATAACCCCCCGCCCCGTGTATGCTGATGTTTACAGAAAACCTGGGAAGACCCCGCGGGTATGATAATTCTGTCTGTGTGTCCCTCCCGGACTGACTCTGTCACTCTCAATAATAGCGCCAGTTTTGTTTTGGTTTTTTCCATTATTTAGTTTTGTTCAAAGTTTTCTTCTTTTTTTTCTCTCTACTTATTTGGGGTTTTTTTCTCCAACGTAACAAATAATGGTTGTTGCTTTTGGAAAGTCAGGTCATGCAACATAACAGCGTTTTATTAAGTTTAATATTTCATTTGATCTAGCTTGTTTTGGTTAGCTCATCATGTTGGTTGGATTTACTAAAAGTCGGGAGAGGCGGTGTTTGGTTGCTTTAATTTTAAGTTGTTTTTTTGGTAACTATCAGCGCAGTATATGTCACACAATGAATGTCAAATCAGGTGTTCGGGTAGGGTTTTATCAAATTGTTTTTCTTCTTAAAATTGATTAATTGATTAATTTATTAATTCTTTTGTTCATTTATTAATTTATTAATTTATTGCTGATCTTTAAATTTCCCAGCTGTTTATAAAGCTCATGGTTATTTTTTAAATTTTTTTTTTTTGGGGGGGGGGGGTAAAAATGCATTTTTAGTATAGACAGAAGTGGAGATAGAATGAGACTCTTGTAAACAGAGAAAAGAAGAACTCTCAAGAAAGAAAACGATAGCAGATTAAGATTGAACAAGACGCAGACTGAGTTGAGGAGAGGGCTGCAATAGACCCAGACTTTCTGGTATTCGCTTTAGCCTTTGAGAGTCAGACAGAGATAGATCTCTCCAGGGCGAGCTTTTCCAAAGTCTGCTTTGCCGTAGACGTCTGCTTTAGACAGCGAGATTCTCCTTCCTGCTTATTTGATGTTGATTGCTACAAGACGTCGTCAATACCTTTTTAGAAACTTTGTGTAGGTTTTAGTTTTTAGTTTAGTTTAGCCCTGGCTTTTTTCGATCTCTAGCGCATTTATATATATATAACCGAAGCTGATTCCTTTCGCTTATGTGAAAGCTTTAGTGTTTCCTTTTGTAGATAATTGTTCCATACGCCCCAAACCCCCTCCTCTCTCCTCCCCCTCCCACTCCCCCTCCCTCCGCCCC